ATGCAAGGCAAAACCACATTGAGATACCATCTCACGCCGGTAAGAATGGTGATCAATAAAAAATCTGGAGATAACAGATACTGCTGAGGCTGTGGAGAAATAGGAACACTTTTATACTGTTGATGGGAGTGTAAGTTAGTTCAACCATTGTGGAAGACAGTATGGCGATTCCTCAAGGATCTAGAAATAGAAATACCGTTTGACCCAGCAATTCCATTACTGGGTGTATACCCAAAGGATTATAAATCATTCTATTATAAAGACACATGTACATGTATGTTCATTGCAGCACTGTTTACAATATCAAAGACTTGGATCCAACCCAAATGCCCATCAATGATAGACTGGATAAAGAAAATGTGGCACATATACACCATAGAACACTATGCAGCCATAAAAAAGGATGAGTTCATGTCCTTTGTAGGGACATGGATGGATCTGGATCCATTATTCTCAGCAAACTGACAGAAGAACAGAAAACCAAACACTGCATGTTCTCACTCATAAGTGGGTGTTGATCAATGAGAACACGTGGATACAGGGACACTGTATACAGGATACATCACACACTGGGGTCTGTTGGGGGGTAGGGGGCTAGGGGAGGGATAGCAGGGGGTGGGGAGATTGAAGAGGGATAACATTAGGAGAAATATCTAATGTAGGTGACAGGGAGATGGAGGCAGCAAACCACCACAGCATGTGTATACCTATGTAACAATCCTGCAAGATCTGCACATGCACCCCAGAACTTAAAGTAAAATAAAATTTTTGAAAGGACATAAAATAAATTTTAATGCTAAAATTTTAAGTATATTTATTGTGTCAAGTAGTTAGTAATTAGAATTATCACATACTTGAAATTACAGTAGAATTTTTTAAAAAATAAAAATGCTTAATAAAGCATATAGAAAAGTATATCAAGTAAGATTCTTTTGAGATGCTCCCTGGGCCTGTCCCTCCCAATGATTCATCTCCCACCTTCCAACAATGCACTCTATTATAATGACTTGGCATTCACCGAGCACCAGCAGGAGAGTCAGCTTTCTGCAGACCCTGGTGATAAGGATGCCACCAGGACCCTATGGCTGGCTCTTTGAAATGTTACTGAAAGTTTAACGTAATTCCAATATGTTTCTTCTCATTTAAAGACTTTCTATGGTTAAAAAAAAATAAAAATTATGTCATAAAATGATACTGCCATAGTGAGAATGGTACTGCTATTTTAATGAAGAAATTATTCCATAATATGAAAACATGACACATTATTTGCTTTTTTTTCTCTAAGAAAAGGAAATTCTGTTAAATGGAAAATATTATTATCAAAGGAATAGGAATTTCTATTAATGGAAATTATTATAAAAAGAAATCTGTTAAATGATAAATGAATGAGTGATAAAGCTAAAATCTCACAAATAACTTCAAATTGATAGGCATGCCAACAACTGCTTTGTAGTAAGAATACATTTATTAAAGATGCATAAAAATGCAATTTGAATGATGCTGAATTGTTGTAGAAAAACCAATTTCTATCATACCCCAAAACCTAAAATGCGATAAAATAAATAAATGGAAAAAAAAAAAGAAACTTAAAAAAAAAAAAAGAAAGAAAAACCAATTCCTATCGTTTAAAAATGTTTATAGTAAATTCTAAGTATCACAAATAAAATATAAAGGATGTATTCAGTTGGTGGCAAAAACTGCAACTACTTTTGCGCCAACCTAATTGTAGGGGCATGTACTCTTAAGAGTAATGTCAGCAATTAGCCCAACCTCTTGTTTCTCAGTGGACATGATTTGCTGAAATTCACTCAGGTAGTTAGAGACAGGACGAACATCCAGGATGTCTGATTTTCCAGTATCTGTCTGCATCCTAGATGTGTTTTTGGAGTCAAAACTCTGTGGGTGAGACAGGTTGTTGTCAAATCAATCCAAATGTAAGACAATAGAGACTAGTGAGTCCCTAGTAAATGTTAGAATATTTGCCCTGTTTGAAAGTATTAATATTGAAATACATAAAGCATTATGACATCCAGCTAAAATATACCCACAAGACAGTTGGTTACATTTTGGATATTCTAA